CACACCCGGCTAATTTTTTTGATTTATTATAGAGATGAGGTCTTGCCAAGTTGCCCAGGCGGATCTCAAACCCATGGGCTCAGGCAGTTCACGTACCTCGGACTCCCGAAGTGCTGGGATTGCAGGTTGAGCCACCGAGCCCAGCCGACTCTACATTCTTAAAAGACCTGAATGTTACAGGCTTTTTTCTTGTTTCTTTATTTTTAATTATATAAGTAATACATATACACATGTTCTTTTGTTTAAAAAAGTCAATTATGAGTGGATTGCCTGAGTCCACGGGTTCGAGACCCGCCTGGGCAACTTGGCGAGATCTCATCTCTACAATAAATCAAAAAATCACCCGGGTGTGGTAGCGAGCGCCTAAAGTTCCGGCTACTCGGAAGACTGAGGCGGAAGGATCACCAGAGCCCAGCAGGTCGAGGCTGCGGTGACAGAGTGAGACTTCAACTGGGAAAAAAAAAGTCAATTATACAGATGAAATTTAAATGTCCTTTAGCTATACTTCAAATCCCATTGTTCTCCTTGGAGGTAGTGACTATTGTCAATTTAATGGATATCTCTCCAGATTTGTATGTAAACATTTTTGAAATCTATAGTTTTAGTGGTTTTGTTTTGTTTTAAATAGTTTCATTCCTGTGCTTTACTCTGAAACTTGCTTTTTGTTTTCAACCTACCAGTATAGAGATTTTTTTCATGTTAATTATATATAGACCTGCTTCATTCATTTAATTGATGCATAGACTCCCATAGAATAACACTCAGATTATTTAACCATTTTGATGTTACCAGATTGTTTCTAATCTTTTTAGTTTAAAAAATTTTTATTTATTTATTTATTTTTTAATTTTTTATTTTTTTGAGTTGGAGTCTCAGTCACCCAGACTGGAGTGCAGTGGCCGCTCCTGGTCACCGCAGCCTCGACCTACTGGGCTCCAGTGATCCTTCCACCTCAGCCTTCCAAGTGGCTGGAACTAGAAGTGCGCGCTACCACACCCAGCTAATTTTTTTTTATTTATTGTAGAGTGAGGTCTCGCCAAGTTGCCCAGGTGGGTCGAACCCGCGGGCTCAGGCAATTCACTCACCTTGGCCTCCCAAAGTGCGGGATTATAGGCTGAGCCACCGAGCCAGGCCTAAAATTTTTTTAATGAGACAGGATCTTGCTCTGTCATCCAGGATGGAATGCAGTGGTGTGGTCATAGCTCATTACAGCCTTGGACTCCTATGCTTAAATGATTCTTCTACCTCAGCTCCCCGAGTAGCTGGGACTGCAGTGTGTACTACCACACCCGGCTAAGTTTTATTTTTGTAGAGACAAAGTCTCAGTATATTGACCAGACTGGGCTTGAACTCCTAGGCTCCCAAAGCACTAGAATTACAGGCATGAGCCACACACATGGCCTGTTTCCAATTTTTGAAATATGTCCCCTTTTGCACATATGCAAGTATTTCTCTAGGGTATATTCTGGGTGATAGGATTATATACATTTAAGATTTTAATGGTTACTATTCCTTGGCCCTCCAAATAAGCTTTATATACTTATAGTACCATCTGTATAGTATGTGAGTACCTACTTCCCTACACCCTCAATAACACTTGATCTTGTTTCTCATTTTTATTTATCTGATGAATGAAAAACGGTAACTAGTTCCTTTATTTTCATTTCCCTGTTAACTGGTGAGATTAGTGTTCTTTTCAGTAATGGTTGACCATTTATATTTCCTCTGTGAAGTGCCTGTTAATAGCCTTTGCTGATTTATCTATTGAGTTATTTATCCCTTTCTTATTGATTTGTAGCAATTCTCTGTATATTCTGAATATTAATTGTTTATCAAATCTGGGTAGTTCTTGCTGTTAAAACCATCTGAGTGGATTACCTAGTTTAGAAGCAGATCTTTGACTATCCTTTAAGTTTTTTCTATGGTAATTTATTTATTCAGATTTTCTAGTTCTTTGATTTCATAATTGTGGTAAAATATATATAACATAAAATTTACCATTTGAACTACTTTTAATTGTACAAGTCAGTGGCATTAAGTGTATTCATGTCACTGTACTCCCATCATGACTGTCAATTTTGAGAACGATTTCATCATCCCAAACAGACTGTGTACTCATTAAGCAATCAGTTTCCATTTCCTCCCCTCCCCAAATCCCTGGTACTCTCGATTTTACTTCTGTCTATGAATTTGCCTGTTCTTGGTCCCTTATGTTATCAAACAATATTTGTCCTTTTGTATCTGGCTTATTTTACTTAACATAATGTTTTCAAGGTTTATTCATGTTCTAGCATGTGTCAGAATTTCATTCCCTTTTAAGGCAGAGTATGCCATTGTATGTATATACCACAGTTTCCTTATCTGTTCATCTGGTTGATGAATATTTGAGTTGTTTCCCCCTTTTAGCAATTGTATGATAAGCTAGGCCAATCTATTGTCTAGCATTCATTGTTGCCTATTAACCCGAAGTCAATCTGATTATTATTCCTTTATAAATAACCTATTTTTGTTTGGTGTGCTTTTGCTCTGGAAGCATTTGAGATTTTGGGGGTCATAGAGAAGTTAAGAATTTTACTAGGATATAGATCTTTTTCTTCATTTCTGTTGCTGTGTTTTGTTGTATTTTTAATCTAGACTCATGAGTTTCTTAAGTTCTAAGAAATTGTTCTCTTTTATTCCTTTCTTTGAGTTGTCTCTACAGTTTGTTCTCTGTTCTCTCCATGTAGAATTCTTATTATATGAATTTTGAAACATCAAGATCTGCATGTTTCTTCATTTTGCTTTCATACTTTCCATCTCTTTGGGCTACTTTCTGAAAGATTTCCTCAGCTTAGTCTTCCTGTTTTAATTCATTCTTCACTTGTGCCCATTTTGTTCTTTGTCCCGGCTGTTGAATTTTTAATTTTGACAACACAGCTTTTAAGTTCCTAAGATATCTAGTGATTCCATTTTCATGGACATAATATCCTCTTAGTCCTCTCAGAGAATATAAATTATATGTGTTTTAAAGTTCTGCATTGCCTGTTCTGTTTCTTTGTCCTTCAGAGTAAGCCTTGAGTTTGTTAAGCATGGCAACTGTCTTTCTTGATATTAACATTCTTCAGCTGTTTGGTGGTTCAGCTGAAAACTCTTTTTTTTTTTTTTGGAGTAGAAATCTTACTCTGTTGCCCAGGCTGGAGT